CCGGATCTTCCCTTCTTCAGGCTGACCCCCCCCGAGTTGGTTTGGTGGCTCCCCTGGGGCAGCTCCCACAGGTCCCGCGGTCACCGTCCTTTACAGCAGCAGTGAGAGTCAGGAAACTCTTCCCGTATGTGTGCGCCGTTCCCCGCTGCTGGGGTTTTGTCTCAAAACTCGCTTCGACTGACGCTGCTTGTTGATACGGGAATCGTTCAGGGGAAGGGGAAGCCTGAGCAGGGTCGGGGAGCACAGCCCAGTGTTGGGAGCCGTAACCCTTTCTGCTTCTCCTGGTTGTACAGCTCAGCAAACAGAAGCGCAAGTTTTCGTCCTTTTTTAAGAGTTTGGTCATTGAACTGGACAAAGATCTCTACGGGCCTGACAACCACCTCGTGGAGGTAAGCGGGTCGTGCAGCCCGTGCCTGCTGCCCTGGCACTAGCAGAGAGCAGCAGCGTGCCCGCGCTCCGTGCTGCGGCACCTCGCCGTCAGGCGCGCAGTTAGGGTGTTCGCAGCGCCTGCAGGGTGTGTGCTGAACCCCAGTTGTAGGGGCAGAGCAAGGGATGAGGAGGGTGGGGGAGTTCGTTGTGTGGTCTTTGGGGTTTTTAATCGAAGACCCTCAGAAGGCTGGTCCTGCCTTCTTCCCGCCTGGTGTGCGGTGCAGCACGCGCCTCCACGGACACCAGCGGAAAGACTGACTCTTCCTGCTTTCCTGTTGGCAGTGGCACAGGACTCCCACGACCCAGGAGACGGATGGCTTCCAGGTGAAGAGACCGGGGGACGTCAGCGTGCGGTGCACCCTACTGCTCATGCTGGACTACCAGGTCAGCGCACTGCTTTGGGGGAGGGTACAGGCACGGGGTCGCGGTGCAGCCCAGCAAACGCATCCTGTCACGTGCATCAAACCCCAATACCCGTCTCAGTGTCGCATCGTCGGGGAGGTTGGAATGACACCAAACTGGCAGATGAGCTAACATGTGAAGGGGACACCTGCAGGTAGAAGGTGCATTTCCACCTCAGGCTTCTTAGAGAATAGTTGAGCGACGCGTGGTCCTACACAGACACTCAAAGGGGTGGCTGTCGCTAGTGCTGCTTGAGCTAGCTCCGTCACCTTCCTGGCACTGAGGGCAGGCTGACAGCCCCACAGTTCCCCAGATCCTCCTTCCAGCCCTTCTTGGGGAAGGGGTCATGTTGTCTAAATCTGTTCCCTGATCCCAGTCACAGGAACCAAAAGCCCAGTCGGCGGTGCGTAGGTTATTCCACCTTGGGGCAGAATGTGAGAGAGGTTCCTGGACCTGCCCCAACGTTTTAAAGCTGCAGTAAGGTCAAGCCGCTCCCAACCCCCTTCTTTTCAGCTTTGGGTGTGCACTGCCATGGTCTCCGTTCCCCGGGCAGAAACGATGTGCCGTTGTGGAACTGATGTGACAAACCATCCCTGAAAGAAACGCTGCTGTCCGAAGGCAGCCGATCGCTCCGCACTGCTGAGGGGGGCCGGCGTCTCCCTTTTCAGTGCCAGATCAGTCCCAGATACATTTTGACTGTGTAACTTGGGGAACTCACTCTCAACCACTCTCTTCCCCGTGGAAGTGGCATTCTGCTGTTCCCTCTCCATGCAGAGAGCATATGTCCCCACTGAAGATGCGCCGGTTTATGTTAACAGAGAGAAAACGTCATTAATTTTAGGGACCGTCTGAGCCAACTGAAATGCTGATACAGGCAGTGAGAACTGTTATTGTTAAGACAGTGTAATGATGTTTGTTGTGGTCCCCGTTATTGTGAATCTGTGCTTTAACCCAGGCGTTCTCTTGTCCCTAAGCCCGGATTAGTTAGGAGCTGGCTGTGGGTGACCGGCAGCCAGCAAAATAATCCCCCTAATAACGTGGCTGATGTTGCACTTGGAGAAGCATCACATTCCGGAGTATCCAGGGGATGTGCTTTTCTGGAGATGCAGAGCAGGGTAGTCGCGTTCTCTCGCGCAGGTCAGATGCTCCTCTGGCCGCCGTGGCCGGGCGCGTTTGCCGGTGTGTGCAGATGAGTGGGAACGCGCCTGGGTGGGAGACTTGCAGGCATGGCCTTGGTCTGAGGCGGCTGAGCAGCTGTTCGCAGCAGCAGCAGCATCACACTGCTCTCATTCTCTGTGGTTAACTGCCAGCAGGTCAGGGGAAGGACCGTCTGCTTTCTTCTCTACTCCCTGAAGTCCTTCCTGAGTCTGCCTGCAGTTGTCACTGTCCGAGGCATGTGACACAGGTAGCATCCACAGCACATGCAGCGTCCCTCTTTATCCTCAAGGCCTGGGCAGTTCCCAGATCAGCAGCGGTGGGAATGTCTGAGGCACGGGTACTGTTGTGGGGTGCTCCTGAGGAGAGTCCCCTGGGAGTGATCATAGCTGCGTATCCATCTGCTTTCCCTCTACTGCCATCTCCATCCCCTCTGTTACAGCCTCCACAGTTTAAACTGGACCCACGATTAGCTCGTTTGCTGGGAATACACACCCAGACCCGATCCGCCATCATCCAGGCACTCTGGCAGTACATCAAAACGAACAAGCTGCAGGACTCCCATGACAAGGAATACATCAACTGCGACAAGTACTTCCAGCAGGTAATTCCCCTTTGGACACAGCGGTCCTTGCAATGCGAGCCGCGATGTCCCGCCCCGGATTTGGGTGGGTGAAGTTACGGATGTTGCCTTCCCTCAGGGATGTGCGGTAGGGACAGTATGGGGTGGCTTTCAGCACTCCCAGCTGATCCAGGACGCAGCCTCCCCATGTGCCAGCACGTCAGAAAAGCACACCGGGATGTGCAGCGCTCCCACAGGAGCGGGGCCCTTCCCGAGAAGGAGGGTTTTCTCTCAGCTTCACCGTGTTGGTTACAGGGGTTTTTCTCCTGATGTGTCATTTGTACTAAGCAACAGGAAATAATCTGCTGATGGTGACCGCCGAATCCTATGCAGACTCCCAGCAGTCCCTTCTGCTGGGTTTGCTTCCCTTCTCTTTGACGGGCAGAAGGCATGGGCATACCTTTAGAAAAACTATTTTTGTAAATCTGCTTCAGACGCTGAACTCGTCTCAGTGACACGCGTGATGTTTCAAAGCGTCACGTTAAGGCTGTTCGCAGTTGACCCTGTGTCGATGCGGTGCAGCGGTTCACACCGCCGTGGGGCGAGCGGGACGGCGTTCTCACTTCCGTTCATTCGCATTCCAGCTTCACAACTGGCTAGAATCAGGACTTGCTGGAGCCCCCTGCTCCTCCTGTGTCTCATCGGAGCCCTGTTAGCTCCTGAGTCTCCTCTGTGGTAGGGCCCCCAGGAACACCATCAGCCCTGGCAACTGTTCTTCCCATCCGTTCACACCGCCGTGGGGCGAGCGGGACGGCGTTCTCACTTCCGTTCATTCGCATTCCAGCTTCACAACTGGCTAGAATCAGGACTTGCTGGAGCCCCCTGCTCCTCCTGTGTCTCATCGGAGCCCTGTTAGCTCCTGAGTCTCCTCTGTGGTAGGGCCCCCAGGAACACCATCAGCCCTGGCAACTGTTCTTCCCATCCTCGCATTAGTCCGATGCGAGGGTTGAGAAGCAGCGGGATCCTTTCCTAGAAGTCTGAACCCCACTCCCTGCAAGAGCCGGCTGATGTGGAGTCACTTCCATGGGAACGCGGTGCTTGTGCAGATTGACCTGATCAGTGGGATCGATGCGAGTGTTCCCGTTTTCTCTAGATCTCTGGCAAAACTGCCCTGAGTGGCTCCTCGTGCGTTCGGAACTGACAGTAGTACTTCGGAAATTAGTCTGTTAAATCAAATGAAGCATTTGAGGATGAGTATTGTTGGGTTACCCCTCTAAGGATGAGCAGTGGGTTAGGAATGCCTTCCAGCCTGACGATCTTTCCGTGGACCAGACACTTGTAGGCGTGTAAGTGGTGGAAAAAATCCGGGTCATAGCTGGAGGTGCGCGGGTCTCGAGGGGAGCAGAACGCAACCCACCGCTGTCGCTGGCGTTCCCTTTCAGGTACCCGTCTCAGCCCGTGTGCCAGCTTTTCTGACCGCACTGCTGCGCTTGTGGTCGTATCTAGTAGCACAGTACAGCCGGAAAAGGGGTCCCCAGACGAGACACCCCACACCCCAGAGTCACCACAGCCGTACAGGCGATCAGAGCCAGTGGTTCTTGACTCCAGTTAAGTGTAATATGAGAAGCTGTAGGGA